CAACTGATATATGTATAAATGAACAGTAAGGGATTTGGTCATGAAGATCTCCCCTCCAAAAACCAACACCAATATTGTGCTTTCTTACTTAGTAAAAATTGTCTTTGAATGGCGTTCCAAAAATAACTTATAATGGAATTTCAGATTAGAGAATGAGTGGGAGGGCCTTTGAAGATCATCAGTAGTCTGATATCTCAAAGATAGGTACACAATTACTATTTGAACAATTATAATGCTAAGGTGCTACTTCTCTTGTTAAACAACTCTTAATATTAGAAAAGTCAAAACATATTGAGCCAAAATTTTATTGCTTCAACTTGAACTTAATGGAGTAAAACTACTCTCAATCACACACATAGCTAAGGACTCCTTATTTAAAATTATAGAAATCCATCGGATGTTACAGAATAAATCAGCATAGTTTTATTCTTGTTTTCACTCATGTTCATACATGTGTAACACACCCAATATATACACATAAAATGTGTATTTTTCTTTGTCAGTGAATTACTAAAATCAAATCTGAACTTCAAAAAAAAAAAAAAAAAGAAACACCTGATTCAAATTTCTTCTGAAATATATGATCGGCTAAATTATGAAATACAAAAAGAAAATCAAGTATGCAGGTAGTTGTCTATCATTGGGAAGGATGGTAGTCATTTCAAATATATATACCTAGATGGTGATAATTCTGAAGCTCAGCTCTTTAATGGTTTAAACAAAAAGTCCCCTTTCTCAAACTCATGTTGGCTGTGTAAGATTTTGTCATTTTACACTTTATTTCAGTAACAGTGCAATCCTCTAAAGTTTCTAGTTTTAAACTAAATAATAGTAGAACTGAGAACACAGACCTGAGATACTGTTTTAAATCCTGATACATTAGAATCAATAGGAGGCAGATAACCAAGAAGGCAAATGTACTGATTTGCAATGGTAAGGTTGCCTAGACTATCAGGCATATTTATTAAAATCTTTGGAATTTATCTATACTCCATCAACAACTTTCCTCACTTAATTGAAGCAGAAAGCTGTGGTGACCTGAATGCACAGCAGTAAACACAAATCAGTTAAATTCAACTAATTAACTTTTCAGGCCGTGTCATGACAATTCATTATGTTATGATTGAGAGAAGATTTCTTTGGATGAATTTTTTAATTAAAAATTATTGGGGTGAAGAAAAAAAAACATGGCGGACTGAGAAATATCCTCAGATCTCTCCCCTTGAAACAACAATAAGCTGAACATCTAAAACTCAAAAAAATAAAAACACCTAAACTGCACACCAGCAGGTCTGAGCATGAGATCTGCACAGAAGAGGTATCATAGGTCAGAACCCAGGGTGTTGGGCAGTGGACTGGGAGAAATTAAGAAGCTGCCTCTCCCAGCCACCGGATCTCCCTACTGGCTAAGGGAGAGGGGAGAAGGAGCAGCAACTTCCATGAACAGCCTTGCCTGGAAGTGATGTTATTTCACTCAGCTGATGTCAAGACCCGGTCACCAGGGTAGAAAGCAGAGAAGCGGAACGGAACTGCAGAGAAACAGCAGTGATTTTTACCAGCACAGGTTGCAAAACTGAGGCTGAGCCTCAGCACCCAACTCCCAACCCAGAGACCCCCTCCCTGCCACACATTTGGAGACCTATGACCACGGAGCCCCAGGGGAATCAGAGCAAATGCTACCAAAACTGACAGGGACTGAAACTGAGGGTAGTGAGCGGGATTAAATATCTATATGAAAATAAAAAGGCATTTTTAAAGCTTTATATAAAACAGGGATCTAAAAGGCTTAGATGCCACCTACTGGAAACCAAAAGAAAAGCACCTTCCTTGCAACAGGCTAAAAAGAGACCTTTTATAATAAATCTTTCTGGAAAAAACAGCACTTAATGTCCAGGTGGAAAAATAGTCCAGTAAACACTATGAACAACCAAGGTGACAAGGCATCTCACAAAGAAAGAGAAAAATCTCCAAAAAATACACTTACAGATATAGAAATATGCAACTTAATCACAGAAAATTCAGGATGGTACTTCAAAAAAAACTCAGTGAGTTCCGAGACCAGTCATATCAACAATTTCAGGAATTGAAAAAACAACTAGATGAGCAGAATGAGTTCTTTAGCAAGGAGATTGAACCTCTGAAAAAGAAATAAAGGGGGGTGGGAATCAGAAGGAAGAAAGAAACAGAAGAATGAAAAATATCAAGAGAAATTTAAGAATTAGCTGATACCATCAGGAAAGGAAACATAAGAATAATAGGCATTATCGAAAGTGAGGAAAAGGAGCAGGGACTAGAAAGAACTTTCAGACATATAGTTGACAAGAATTTCTCAAATCTAAGGAATGAGATGGAGCTTAGAATTCAAGATGTCAACACAATACCCAATTACCTCAAACCAAAAAGGCCTTCACCAAAATACATTGTATTAAAGTTATCAAAAATCAACAACAAAGATAGAATTCTCAGAGCAGCAAGGAGAAGAAAATGGTAACTTATAAAGGAAATCCCATTAGATTATCCTCGGACTTCTCAGCACAAAACTTACAAGCCAGAAAGGAATGGAATCAAATATTTAAACTTATAAGTGAAAGGAACTGCCAGCCTAGAATAATGTTTCCAGCTAAGCTCTCCTTTAGATATGAAGGAGAAATTAATACCTTTCCAGACATATAAAAATTGAGGGAATTCTCTGCTAAGAGGCCTGAAATACAGGAAATACTGAAAGGGGTCAGCTCGCCTAAAACAGAATGACAAAAATAAAAATAAAAAACTAGGAGTAAGGTGACAATCAGGCCAAGAGAAGCAGAAGAGTGCAATCTTTACTGAGAACAGGGCATTATAAGGTTAAATAATAAGAAGAGAATTTCTAGATCAAGATAGCGATGAATATTCAGCATACATAGGGACAAATTGAGATAACAATGACTAAAAAGGAGAGGATTCAAAGATCCAAATTTGCAAAGGGAAATGGAGATACGGCATGCACAGAAGAAAATGGATGATTATATATATATGCATATGAAACTATCTTTTTCATATTCATAATGGTAACCACACAAAAATTCAGAACTGAAGTTTATAACATAAAACAAGAAGAACCAGAGGGAAACACACAAAAGCCAACCAAAATAGAGAAAAAAAACACAAAGACAAGGAAGCGATGGAAACACCGAGCTACCAGAAAGCAAAAGATAAAATGGCTATAAGAAGTCCTCATATGTCAATAATCACCCTAAATATTAATGGACTGAACTCACCAATAAAAAGGCACAGAGTTGCAGAATGGGTCAAAAAACAAAACCCAACCATATGCTGACTCCAGGAGAAACATCTTAGCTCCAAAGGCAAATATAGACTCAAAGTGAAAAGGGTGGAAAATGATATTTTAAGAAAATTGAATT